ACTTTAGGAGTGTGCTCTTCCTTCTCTGCTGTGCTGTTGTTTTTCCTTTCAAGGATAGTTAAACAAATGGGAGATATGGTTTCCTGGTTCTTAGGCAAGCTTCCCAATGTAGGTTCATTGAAACTGTCTTACAGAAACGGTGGAGATCAGTAAAGAGGGGTAAGAAGAGGCTATGACTAAGTATGATTCTTGATGGAGCTGAAATCAGCACATTGGACACAAGTCATCTGAAAACTCACTCTTGGATCGATCCTATGTAAGAGCAATCTGAATCCCATAACCAAGAGCCTACAAATAGCCATGTATATGAGAGACTCCTTATATATGTCGTCTCACAGTCCCTGATACAATGCTAAGGGTGTTAGATTTTTGTTTAAATTAGATATAAAGAAAAGGCGCAGGATGAGACATGAGGCTATTAGACATATTAACCAGTTTATTATAGGCAGGGCAGAATAGAGAGAGTAAGAAAGAAGAGAAACAGGGTTAATGGCTTAACGCCATGGCCAGTTGCCAGAAAGAGAGAGAGAGATAGAGCATAGGAGAGAAGAGCAGAGGAGGAGAGAGAAGAGTAGAGAGAGAGTGTGTGTGTAAATGGGTAGGGGTCTGTCTTTTAAAGGGGTCCTTTGCACCTATGTGCAGACTTAGTCTCCATGGAACCCTGGGCTGACCAGGGTACTGCCTGTTCTGCCAGGTAACAGGGGCAGGCCAGCATAGTGCCTGAACCTTTCATTACAGACTACAGGAATGCTCCCTACCATTGGCCCAAGCAACTCGGGTAAAGTTGATTCCACTGTCCACAGGTCACATGCTATCAGCAAGAAGGCAGGTGTCCTGCAGCCCACTACTATGGATGGAGGACCTTGGGGATGGCTGTCCATGCAGCCTGCTGGCAAGTCTCTGTTATTCTTTAATCATTAATTCAAGTAAAATCTTATCCTTCTCAAGAACTCTGATGCTTTTGATGACTGGTAGTCTTGCCAGCTTAAAGCAAAACAGATTTCAGGAACAGGTATTTTAGAGTGTATGTGAAGATAGGAAAGTGTAAGGCATAGGAAGGTCTGAAAATGTAAGTTACAAAGGTCTGAGGATGGAAAGGTCTAACACAGTGGATAAATTCAAGTTATGAAGGTCTGAGGATAAAAAAGCTTAAGTGATGATAAAGTGAGTTGAAACATTAAAAAGAATGAAATATGTTCTGGATTTCTCATGCCACTATTCATAATAAAGATCTACAATACCACTATAGGATCATAACTACAAGGTCAAGATTGAGATGCTTTTCATTGCCCTAAAAAATCTGTCAATTTTAAAATGTTAATGCTTTCAGCCAAGTTGATTCTAACATTAATAAGCTGCCAATGTGTCTAATACTTATGTTTCCACAAACTCTAAGAATTCTTGTAAGTTCCAGGGAGCTGAACTGGATCTGAACAAACAGGTCAGATTCACTCCAGTTATTCAATCTATTCCTGGTCCCATGGAATAAGCAAATCTCTGGGAGAAAAATCTCATCTCTGGCACGTCCTGGTATATGATCTTGAGATGATAGTAATAACTGCCTTACTAAATTGTGCCCCTCCTTTCAGATCTGTATCGAACTGAAGCTCTGCTCCTAATACAGTGGTGCTCTGAGGAAGGGACTTTGGCAGGTAATTAGTGTTAAATGGGTGAGCTGTGAATGACTTTATTAAAAAAAAAAAAAAAAAAAAAAAAGAGGAGACAGCAGACTTCTCCCACTCTCTGCACGTGCCCATATGAAAAGCCATGCCAAGACTCCATGGGAAGCTGGCTCTCTGTAATATTGAAAGAATGCCTTCCCAGAAAGCAAGCTTTCAGTGCCTTGATCTGGGGTTCCCAGCATCCCAAACTATAGAGAAATCAGTTTCTATTGTTCAAGCTACACAGCCTGTGATCTTTTGTTGTAGCATCCCAATTAAACCAATACAACAATGAATGTCGTTCTCAATACTTTACATGCATCAACTATTCTATATAAATCCATGGGAAAGATAGTTTATTACAGTCATATGTGCATTACAAATGATAGGTCTGAAATTTGGAGAAGCCATATACTTTAATAGTGAAAAGATAAACACACACACACACATCACACACACACACACACACACACACACACACACACACGCGTGCGCACGCGCACACACACATGCACACAGCCAAACACCCATGGAAAGGCTGTCCTGGCACTAGAGTTTAGGGTTTTGGTATACCAAGAAGCAAAAGGATGCTTCCTAGGATGAAAGAAATATTCTGTATCTTGTTTACATCTTGGTGGTATCTCTATGGATGTATATGTTTGTCAAAAATTCAACTATGCACTAAAATGGATGTTAAATAATTTATAACACAACATGTTTACAAAAGTTAAAGTACTTTTTAAATTATTAAAAAGACACAAAGTTGAGCCAGAAGACTTGGTTCTGACACCCATTTCCACCAAATACTAACTGTGTGATAGTGTTTAAGTCACACAGCCTGTGACTTCATGTCTTTGGGTCTGTTTTATCTGTAAAATGAATATCATCGTTTCTTTTTTTCTCTTTTGAGTTTCTAAGACAAAATTCATGTAGCTCAGACTAGCTTCAAACTTGCTATGTAGCTGAGGATAACCTTGAACTCCTATCCTCCTACCTTTAACTCCCAAGTGCTGGAAAAATAGGCTGCTATTTTCTTAACATGTATTTTAAGAGTATTATAAAAGTAATTCATTCATTTATGCATTCATGCAATGAGTAAGTAATGAGCACCTGCTACATGCCATGGTCTGATCAGGTAGACAGCAGGGAACTACCATCTGGAAAATATAGTCAAAACCAAAACCACCAGGGTCCCTGTAACGATGGAGCTGATTGCCTGGGGAGCAGGGAGGAAGTTGCTCTGAATGAAATAAAAGTAATGAAGTCCTCTGGGTGATAAACTAGACTCTCAGGAAAACTCCCAAGTTTCAGAGTAGGGAGAAAGAAAGCTGTGCGAAGATTAGAAGGAGAAAGGCTCCAAGCAGAAGGACTATTGTGTGCAAAGGTCTTGAGACGGCAACAAGTTTGGGTAGAGTGTTTGCCTGGTATGCATGAGACCCTGGGTTCTATACCCTATATCACCCCTCAAAAATGATGTTAATTAAGAGGTGAACAAAGCACAGGGCAAAGCCATCAGGGGGCATGGAGGCTAGTGATGGGTCCTGGGTGCTGCTTGCATTAGTCACTGAGTACCATGGCCAATGTAACATTGTTAACAGGCTCATGAACCAGAGACAGATGGAGCCACTCCAGCTTCCCACTGAGTTCCTGAAACGGAAGACTTCTGTAAGCCTTGTGAGTTGTTCTCATGAGATGTCATAGCTAGCAAGCTGAAAAACTCCGTGGCAATTTGCCAGCTGCCTGGTTTTAAATCTAGTCCCTTTGGTGGAAAATGAAAATGAGAATAAATTTCAGGATTCTAATTGGAATCTATCCCCTGCAGGGAGAAGTCTATTTTTATGTCCCCATACAATACCCTGGAGGATTCTGGGAACCCAGCCTGTGTCCACATTCTATGCCAGGGACTAAAGTGAGGAGGAGGCACTAGCTTGCCTCCTAAGGAGGAAGCCCACGGTACCCTTCAGGTCTCCATTTCTCAGTGAGGTGTAGCCTCCAATTCCACTGAAAATAGAGCAGACACCCTGGATCCTGCAGAGAAGGAAGAGAGGGGAATGAAAGAAGAACTCCAGGGGGAAGTTGAAACAGTGAAGACTTTTGTTCTTTTGACGTTAAGAGCCTCTGTCTATTCTGAAGAGAACCGATTTATGTTTGAGATTTAGCCGATGGTGGGGGTGGGGTGGAGGAGCATGAGGGGAAAACCCTAGCACAGTGTTCATCTTGGTATGACAGGTCAGTTTGTGGGTTGAGAGAAATGATGTATTTAGAGAGATGCAAGCAGGTCATGTTAGATGTTTATGACCCTCGGGAAGATGAAAACCCGTCTTCCCTGAACCAAACAGTATGATAAAGTACTAGAAACATCTGGATGCATTCATCATATTTCAGAAGGAAAAGCCGACAAAAGGTGGGTTAGACAATTCCAGTTTGAGGCTTAAGGAAAATGGAGTTGGTGTCTCCCCTCAGCCCAAAGCTGGTTCTTTGTGTCTCACACCAAAATGATTTAAATTAGTTGAACTCAGAGAATTCTCCTCAGAGGTCTAGAATGGTTCTTTGTGAAATCTGGCTTGAGTTTCTCTTGTACTCCTACTTTTTACCATCACTACCACCTCAGAAACAGAGGGCAGGCGACCCAGCCCCTGAAAGTTCCATTAGAAAACGGGGAAAATGATCAGTGGCACGTGTGTTTGGAAAATGTACAACTGCAGCCAATAGAGCACTTTCTTTTTTTTCCAACTTTTTTTATTTGAATTAGGAACAGGATTGTTTTACATGACAATCCCATTTCACTTCTCCCACCCGTCCTTCCCTACCCACTCCCACCACTAAAACCTTATCTGTCACATATCTTCACTGCTCCCCCTGGATGGTGAGGCCTTCCATAGGGGGTCATCAGAGTCTTTCATTTCCTTTGGGATAGGGCCTAGGCCCACACCCCTGTGTGTCTTGGCTCAGGGAGTATTCCTCTATATGGACTGGGCTCCCAAAGTCCACACCTATGCTAGGAATAAATACTGGGTTTCTACAGGAGGTCCCGTAGATTTCCGAGGTTTCCTCACAGAAACCCATGTTCCTTGGGTCTGGATCAGTCCCATGCTGGTATTCCAGCTATCTACATCTGGGTTCCAGTTCAGATCGGTGATTAGTTATGGGTGCCTTCTTCTACTTCCACCAGCTGCTGGATGAGGGCATATAAGTCTGTCATCAATCTCATAATCAGGGGAGGGCATTTGAGGTAGCCTCTCCTACGTTGCTGAGATAATTAGCTGGTGTCATCTTTGTAGATCTCCAGACATTTCCCTAGTGCCTGATTTCTTGTAAACCAAAAGTGTCTCCCTCTATTATATCTCCATTCTTGTTATCGTGTATTCTTCCCCTGACTCATATTTTCTGCTCCCTCATGTCCTCGGCATCCCTCTTCCTCTCTCCTTCTCATTCTCCTAGCTCCTTCCCCCCCAACAGAGCACTTTCAAAGAAAAGTAGGTTCTATGCAATGGGAGTTGTGGTAGTGGTAGAATTTTCCCATGTTTTCTTCCTGAGTTGAAATTGAGTCCTGGCTTCTCAATTCCCACATGCTACATGCCACAAGTAGGCCATTAGTCATGTTCAGTCATGATGTGAGGGGGGGGACTTCTGGGTTCTCTGTCTCCTTACTTGTGATTGTGATGAAGGATGGATGACAAAAACATTGTGTAGTGGCCTTGGGAGATGGCTCAGTTAGAAACGTGCTTGCCTTGGAAGCATGAGAACCTGAGTTTATTCCTAGAACTGATGTGGGAAATATCCAGGCATAGTGGTACACACTGGTAATTCAGGTGCAGGGGAGGCAGAGACGGGCAGATCCCTGGGGCTCACTAACTATCCAACTTAGCTTACTTGCCAAGTTCCTTGCCATCCAGAGACACTGTCCAAGAAGGGAGGGATGGAGGGAGAGAAGAAGGAAAGGAAAGAAGGATGGAGGGAGAGAGGGAGGGAGGGGAGAATGTTACCTGATAGATGACACCTGAGGCTGTCCTCTGACCTCCACAAAATGGTCACTCATATGCACATGTGTCTGCACACATGTATGTACCCCTACACATGAATGTACAAAAGAAAATTCTATAATGATAGCGGGATGAATGTCCTATCCAATCACTAATGCTCTAGAGCAAAACAAGAAAAAAAACATGGAAAGAAAAGTTTAAAAGGAAACAGCATCTCTCTCCAATTGACAAGCTATGCTCTTCTCTGAAGTCCCCTGTGATGTGTTGGCAAACAGGCAGATAGGAAGGATCTGAAGGATTTATGCCTCTGAGACATTGAGCTACCTGAATAGGAGCTGTGGGAGAACCAGGCTTGTGCCTTCCTCCAATTGATGCCTAGAAAAGCTTTCCACATGGCCTTGGGCTGGTTAACCCAGAGATCTGCAACAGCTTCCCTCTTCCAAGCTAAACACTGGATTCTGAGCTATTAACTCCAACTAAAGAAACTGCCTTGAGGAATCCAAGGCAGAATGAAATGTACAAAGGAAAACACCTTTAAAAGCAGCATGCAAATAACAGTGTAGGATTTAGGAAAGGTTCCTATTTGAAAGGTATTTATGCGTTTATAAGATTCTTATAAAATCAGTCCTCTTGATATGTCTGTCATAAGAGGCCATGTTGAAGGTAATAAAGATATGAAAATGGATGGTTTATTGATTGATTTAGTTAAATTTACTGATGGATGGACAAGTACAGTGACATTAAGTCATCTCCATGGCCTCACAGAGAAAACAAAGATGATGGGATATCAGAGTCTCAATTTCATATTGCTAGCTGATATGGAGGATAGATGACAAGAAAATAAATTTCAAACTGTGTTGTGACCTGCCACAAGGATAGCCCTTTGCCCATAAAGCATTCTTTCTACCACTGGAAATTTCTTCATGAAACTTGGGAAACCATCATATAGAAGGTGTTATGGACCACATGTTTGTGTTCCTCAAGATATCAAAGATTGTCACCCTCATCCATTCAGTGGAGAGCCAATGAAAAGATAGGTGTAGGGCTGAAGAATTGGTTCAGCCATTAAGAGCACTGTTGCTCTTGTAGATGACCTGAATTTGATTCCTATATTGCAGCTCATAATCATCTGTAACTCCTCTTCTGGCCAATGTGGGTACCTAGCGTGCACATATGCACATACATACATACATACATACATACATACATACAACACACACATAAAATGAATTTTAAAAGAAAATAATGTAAGGAAGGAAGAAAAAGAAAATGGAGGAATAAGGATAGGTGTCAGCAAAGCAGGAAGTAGTTTGTAGGGAGAGATCTGTACGTTTGGGTGTGGCCACAGGTGCATACTGGGATGTGGAATAAAGATCTGAGGAGAGGGGACTCACCCTTTTCTCGGGGTTCTAGTCAGATCTCAGAGTGCTGCTGAGACTGGATTTTCGGAGCGCTATCTGGTTATAGGTTTCTCATGTAAGTGATCTCCCTTTTAATAAATAACCAACTATACCCTTATCCCATGTACGGTTCGTTTCTGAGACAGTAGTTTTCAAACCCATAATGTGTGAATTTGATACTAGCTTCCAAATAAACCAGTGCTCTGATCTGAGACACCTATGTTCCAGATTGTGAGAGATAAATGCTGTTTGTAGCGTCCTGCTAGGGCTTTGTGTAACAGCCATCCAAGCTGTCTAAAACAGAACTACTTAAAGAAGGGGTGTGAGTATGGATTGAATTCCCTCAATAGAATCCAGAGTTACTAGTTATCCTGCATTTCTCTGAGCTTTCAATTGAGTCTTATAAACTCTCCATTGGATGTTAGACTGCACCTAAGAGACACTGGGTGACTTGGTGTTCCCATACTTTTGAGCAGCTCTAGGGGGTGGCAGTTGTCCTTCATAAAATGACTAGGCCAGTCATGATGGTTGTGCAGACATGGTAGAGATGTGGTACAAAAGTATTTGGGGAAGTGCTTCCTTCATGTAGGACATGCTTTTGTATTACTGAGTTATTAGAGTGCAGTTGGAACAGACTAAGTCTAAGATGGTGCCCACACATTCCCAACTCCTGGCAAGCATGTCCTTGTATGTTGTCTTCCCTTTGTATGTGTGTTGAAAGAAGAACTATGACTTGTTTCTAATCTGGAGTTTATTGCAAAGGTGATGAGAGTTCACTTCCTTTCTAGATGTAAATTGTGTGTAGTGTGTACATATTCTCTATTGCCCTCTAAGCTTTTATATTTGATGTTTGCAAGGCCCATCTGGCAAGAGCATGAGGGCAGCTATTTAGCCAGTGAGTTCAACACACTTAAGAAACTAAATCATGTGCATCTGTTACTTTTATGTTGCTGTGACCAAATTCTCCAACATAAACAACACAAAGAAGGAAAGTTTATTCTGGCTCACACTCCCTAAGAGTTCAGGCTACCATGGGGGCTTGGTGAAGCATCTCAGTTCACATCATGGCAGGTGAGAAAGCCAAGACAGTGATAGGCAGGGCCCAAGGGTAATATTTCTCCAAGAATCTGCCTCCAGTGACCAGCTTCTTCCAGGAAGACTCTACCTCCCAAAGATTCCAGAACCTTCTACCAGCTGGAGGTCAACTGTTCAAAATATAAGCCTATAGGGAGTCAGGGCATTTCAGACTCAAAGGATAAGTTCTGCCAACAGTCATGTGAACTTTGACATGGAACCCTCCCCATGAAGCCTTCAGACAATACCTTGACTTTGACTCAGCCAATGGCTGGCCTTAGCAAAGAACATCACTAAGCTACCTCTAGACACTGAACTGTAGCCATAAAGCAGCCAGTATGCTACACAACCATAGGTAGCTAATATGTCAGTCTACAGTACTTATATTTAGATCATTTTAAAAATACTCAGAGCTATTCCAAATACCCAGAGAGTTTCTTACCAAGAGGACCTCTAAGTTATTATCTCCCAGAATGAAGTGTTTGTTCCAAAAACAAACAAAAAAACCTCATTTATCCTCAGCACAGTGATTTCTCAGCCCTGGATGCTCATCACCCCCATGCAGAAGGTATTGTCTTATTCTAGGTCTAGAAGCTAGGCCCCTAAGTTGGTTAGGGAAGCTCTTCTGTTTGCAGCTCCTAGGTGTCCCCAGTGGGCAGCCAGGGTGGAGATCCCCTCACATAGGGTCATATTACATCATTGTCTGGCACTTTGCTGGTGGCAGTTTTGTCCTCTTTTCCTGTGCTTAAAGGTCTGGAAATGCTGACTTCCACTCCCAGGGTGCCCAGCCTCACAATTAAGACATGATTTTAATAAAAAGCTCTTTTTCTGTGTCTGGTTTAAATTTTCCATTTTATTGGACAGGAAGACACAAAATGCCAGGCCATGTGGCTCATGCCCAGCCATCTGGCAACTAGAGATTCGTCTCACAGGGACAGAGGATACAGCCAACTCATGAACCCTTAATGGGAAGCAGAAGTCATTGAAAAATTCAGATAATGGAAGTTTCATCTCACTCCCTTTTAGGGCCTCTCCCATATCCCTTAGTAAAAGCCAAAGAACCCCTCAGATAAACCAACTAGGCTTTTACCCCTTCACCTTGTGAGGTCTCTGGTGGCAACACCAACCAGCTTTAGAGATGTCAAGGGAACAACAGCAGGAAGCAGGTTGTGAGAAGGAAAAACAACAGCTTTTGAAGCCCATCTCTACCCTGAGGAAAAAAAATAGTGTCCCAAGACTTCTCAACAACTACTTATCTCAAAACTGTAAACATGTAAGGAACTATAGCAGTTTCTATGCAGATTAAGCATCATGTACTTGAGACAGTTTGAAACATAAGTGGGATTTTTCTCAGTGATGGACAAAGAGAGACCAAAGGAAAGGGGGTAGAAAATAAATGATACAGTCAAAGACATTGGGTTCTGGGTGAATTGAATGGGCTATGGCTTAGGGTGAGGAAGGATATTGAGGGTGAGATGACTAGTCTTGATTGTCAACTTATTTAGATTTAGAAGCCAGATGGAAACATACCTCCGGTTGTGTCTGTAAGGGAGTTTTTACATTAGGTTAATTGAGGTGGAACGAGAGCCCCCACCTGTGGATGGTAGTGTTCTGTGGGCTAGGGGTCTGAACTAAATAAAAAGTGTGTGATGCACCTGAAGTCATCACTCTGCCTCCCAATTGTGGATGCAGTGTGACCAGCTGCCTCCGGCTCCTGCTGCTATACCTTCCCTGGCATGGTGGGCTGTACCCCTGAACTGCCATGCCTTCCCTGGCATACTGGGATATACCTCTGAACTGCCATGCCTTCCCCGGAATGGTGGGCTGTACCCCTGAACTGTCATGCCTTCTCTGGTATGATGGGCAGTACCCTCAAACTGTGAGCCAGGATAAACCTGTACTCCCTTTAGTTGCTTTTGTCAAGTATTTTATAACAGCAATAAAGAAAATGACAAATACAGAGAGAGATAGCAGGAGGAAATGAGCAGATTATTTTTCATTATATATATATATACATATATATAATTTTCATTATATATATATATGTAAAATTCTGGCATTGAGGATGATCCTGGAACTCCACGCATAACTACCACAGGGTCACACCTAGATTGTATTGATGGATGTTAGTTATAGGGATCAGTCCGACGTTTACCAGTTGAAGCATCTTTTTCGCCTGTGAAACCCCATGACCGACCATACATTTGGATAACTTATTTGGCCCTGATTCCTTTTACAGCTAACTTGCTCACTTTGTCTCTTGAAGTTCAATACACTATGTGTTTTCTGTGCCATAAGGAGAATTTCCCACAGTCATCTCTGAGTGGAAGATCAGAGGATGCCTACTTCTCTGCTTCCCAGGGATGCCAGTATTCAACACTTTCAAAAGGAAATGTACTCCAGATCTTATATAAAAATAAAATAAAAACACATTTTTAATGAATTAGTCTTGAGTAAAAATTTAGCTATTTAGTAACACTAATATTTTTTGAAGATTTATTGATTTTTATTTTATTGGTATGGGAGTTTTTCTTGCATGTATATCTGTGAAATATATGTATGCAGTGCCCATGGAAGCCAAAAGAGAGTCTCAGATCCCATGGAACTGGAGTTACTGATGTTTGTGAGCTGCTACGTGGGTGCTGGGAATTGAACTCAGATTCTCTGAAAGAGAAACCAGTGCTCTTAACTGCTGAGCCACCCCTCCAGCCCCTGACATTAGCTGCATTCCACTATTTCCAGTACAGAAGAAAGTTCTATTGGAAACCACTGGTCTAGGTTTGCATAACTACACATATAAACATTTTATCAATGGCAGTTTTGTTTCATTAGAATTTGTAAGTTTAAGTATTGGTTGGAGAAAGCCAGTATAGTCATTTCACAGTAGTCAGGGAGCTAGGAAGATGGAGTGAAAAAGGAAGAAAAAAGTCTTGGTGATAAGTTTTGAATCATGTTAAGTGTTTCTTTTTGATAATTTCATAAATGTAGGAGATAAATGTGGGAACATGTAGTTTTGGCCATCTGCTGCCTGAGCGCAGTAGCCTGGACTAAAACCCAGTCCTCACAGGCTAAGGAGGGCCTGAGAAGTAGAAGGTAGAAGTCATCACTTATGGACATATAGAGTTTTCACTGGGGATTAAAGGGCAGAACACTGTTGTGCTTGGGGCTGGCATGTTTCTTTCTGGCTTTTGTCATGGTGTGAATAGGTCTGGGAATGCTTGGAAGAAGAACAAGAGTCCCCAATGATAAAGATCTACGTTTAAAGAAGAGAGTGTTGGAATCAGATGTTTTAGTCTGTTTTCTGTTGCTATAACAAAATACCTGAGGTGGTGATTCATTAATAGAGAATTATTTGTCACATGGTCTGGAGACTAGAAAGCCTAAGGGCATGGTGCTGTTTATCTAGTGGCCATCATAACATGGTAGATTGAGCGACCTAATAGTACCAGCTCAGGCCTCTTTCTTCCTGTATAGCTGCTAATACCATCATGGGAGGGCACTCTCTTCTCTTTAACTCCTAATTACCTCCTAAAAGTACTGCCTTCAACACATGAATCTGAGAGAGTTTCCAGCACATATGATGTCATCACAGGGTAAGGGAATCTTTCAGATGCTGCATGGAGCAGTAGAGGCAGGCCTCTGCTGGGTGGTGGGAGAAGAGGAGGATGGCAAACCCACTAAGTGTGAGTGAAGGTAAGAGATTCCAGGGAACACACTGGTGATGGGTTGCATTTTCTTTATAGTTTGAAGGAACAGCCAACTACTCTGTGTGGAAGAAAGGGAGGTACTTAGAAAGTTTTGAAAAAGCAAAAGATTTATGGCAGATAGAAAAAGGGCCAAAGAGTCATATGATGATCAATAAGAAAATTATATGCAATCCTACCAGATAGTCTCTTTCCAACAAAGTGGATTATGTCATATTCATCTACAAAATTATTGAGTTTTGACTTTCGTGCATATGTGTAGCGCATATGTACATGTGTACTATGACTGACTGCAGTCACTTCTCCCTCATTTCTCCTCTTGTCTGATAAACTTCCTTATTGTGACACACATTGAACCTTTATGGTAAATGTTGATAATAAAAAGTAGAAGGGACAAGAAGGGATTAAACAAGTATCAGAGCTGTGTTGCACATCTCTGATGACAGTCCCAGTCATCCTGCTAATCTCAGGGCAGGAGATCTGATTGTCCCGTTTACAGACGAGCAGGTACAGAGCAAAGTGAAGGTAGAATTAAGTGCTTGTTTAACCACCTGCACAGTTGTGTTCCTTAGGCTGTTTATTTCTTGAAACCTCGGGTTCCTGTTGGAGCCTAGGAATTAAGCTTTCTACTTTATAAAATTATTAATAACATCAAATGAGATCATCTGTGAGAAAGAGCCTATTACTGGGGTGCTTTAGTGTTGTAGGGGAGAGATGTGGATCAGCCCAGGCTGGCCTCAAACCTATGGGTCTCCTGTGCTCCAGATGCAAGGGTTCCAGTAACTTCTGATTCCAGTGGGGTTCATAATGTGCAATGTAGCTGGTGTTTAAAACAAGTGTTTTAAAGGGGAGTAAACAGTACAGCAGAGGCAGTGTCCTGAATGGGAAAGCCACCAAAGACGCTGACTCTCAACATACTTTTGAGCTAATGAAGCCTCATTCCCACACTCACTGCTGTCCACACCTTGCCAGTGGGGCAAATGACATTCCTGGGGACTGTCATTTGAAGATTTGAGAGTCTTCCTGCTTCTTGCTTACTGTGTGATTTTGTCTTCTGGTACCTTGAAGGGAAATGATACAGTAGCCCGAATTTCACAGAAGGTACCAGAAGAGACTGGAGGAAGAGTGTCATGTTCTGAGTGATGCCTGGAGTCATCCTTTTATGGAACATTAAACATTTCTCTCAGATGAGTAACAGGTGGCAAGGGCTGTGGAAAGATGACAAGGCAGAAGATTATGGGACCTAGGGAAGTCTCTTTTAGCAAGACATCGGTATGTGTCTAAAGACATTGATTAATGATACCTCCTGTCCCCTGTGAGCAGCAGATCAGGAGCACAGGTGTGCTGAGAGCTGGGAACCCAGGGGGAGTGAGACTAAGGTCACATCCATCAGGGAATGGCAGGGAGAACAGGCTTGATCAGTCCTCAATGTCCCAGGGTCACTCCCAAATGTCTCCCCAAAGGCTTGAAATCATTTTTCCAGGCTGAAGCTGGAAATCATGAAACCTCCCAGATCCAAAGACATGCTCATTGTCTCACTGCTGTTAGAATCACTGCTCATGTTTATTGGAAAAACAGAACATAGCACATCTTGGCTTCCACAGTGCTCTGAGTCCTGGCTCTGTCACCTTTAAGCTTGTCATTCTCTTGGGAGGTAACAAAACTGCTTTAATTAAATGTTCCCCCAGGAGAATTAGCAAGAAGGCACTCCTGTGTAGCAAATCATGAATAGCACTGCTAAAGGGGCTAAGGGGTGAGGGTGGAGGAAGATTGGTCCCAGAATAGACGTTCCTATCATGCCCAGTCTAGCCAAAGGCACGATACTCATACAATACAAGGTACTTCTCATAGAGATGCCTGGACTTCCTAAAAGCAGAAAGGTAGCAATGTGACAGTAATGGCCATTTTATCAGCCTCGTGTGTCTGGAGTGGGCTTTGGGTGGTTGACATTGTAGAGCCAAAGGATTCTTTTTGTTGGTGGGACAGCATGGAAGGGCATTTGGTCTGGAGGGCCACCAGCAGGAAAGACAAAGCAGCAGCCACTCAGCTGACTTCGGAATAACACAGCTGAGATATGGTCAGCCTTGGCAGTGGTAAGGTCAGTGAGAGTGCTCTTATTGAACTGCCTTGAAGTTTCCTTTGCAAAGAAAACCTTTTGTTAAAGACTTGTTTAAAAGAAAGTGCACCATTGCGCAAGTATTTCTATCAGGGTACATAAAGACCTTTTGTGGGGAACCTGGGCAAAGACCATGTGTGTTTCCCAATAGGGCTTGGAGGTTGTTGGAATACCTAGACAACGCCCTTTAGGAGCCCGGGTGGGAACACGGCCTTTACCGAGTCCCACCACGCAGGGAGATGCATTTGCAGAGCAGACAATCTCAGTGTTTTGGGGTCATTGACCTTGAACTCATTTGGGAACAAGGGTTGAAACCATCTTTAAATGCCCATCAAAGAAAATCTGGTTTTTTAACAGTAGGCCTGAGGGTGCAGCTCAATGGTAGAGACTTGCCTGGCAAGCATAAGTTGCTAGTTTGACTCCCAGAATCATGAAACATGGTGTGTCCACAAAAGCAATTGCTCTTTAGATTAAAACAACCTGTAGGTGTCATGTCAGCCCTAGGGCGTTGCAGTTGGAAAACTGATACAATTTATCTTTACCAATTACCAGCTGCCTCAGCTCCCTGCTCAGAACTCCTTAAGTCTTAACAAGCTTTGGCTGTGAGGGAAATACTAACTGGAGTGCGAGTCCCTGCATATTTGCATGTAGGCGCCCTGCATCTAAACCCATGAGCAAAAGCAGCAGAACATTCCGGAATGTTCTCTACAACTGTGGCTGTATGTGCTCTGCTCTGGTTGCTGAGACTCAGAGACTCACTTCTGAAATAAAAGCAGAGTCCCGTGATATCTTTGTGAATGTTCTCTTCTAGAATGTTCTCTTCACGAAGAAGAGACTCTCTAAAGGTTAAGGGCCAGACCCAAGATGGCCCAGAACTCAGGATCCTACTACCTCTGGGATTTAAGGTGTGGCAACAGGACAGAAAAAGGGCATGCCACACATAGGGTCTGAAGCCGAGTAGCCAGTAAGGCCAGCACACAATAGAAAAGAAAGTAAGTTTTGCCATTTTACCCAGTTAGACTCTACCAAATGCCTAACGGGTATCTCCTACAATGTTTGAAGTAAGTGTGTGTACAGAACCGGCGTTTACTCTCTCAGTCCGCTGGGACAGGCAAGGCAGGCATCCACCTGCACCTGCTACCCGTGCAGGTAGGGGGCGCGCGCGGGCTCCCGGCCCAGGGCGTTGATGTGCTGCTGAGCACCTGCGCCTGCCAACTTCTCGTTGAGTTTTTGGTTGACCAGCTCCAGGTGGCGGCTGTTCTTCCGCGCCTGCCTCAGAGACCTCTTGACTTTCTTCACCCGCTCACGGAGCTGCCTGTTGCGTTTCTCCAGGGTGGCCACCTTCTGCTGCAGCTTCTTGACGTGGTCCTCTTCCTCAAACAGGGCCTTCTGCACCGAGGAGCACATGAGCTGGGGGCAGAAACAGCGCAGAGGGAGAGGCAGGTGAGTCTCTGCATTTAAAATTTGTTCTAAGTATTTGTCACTGACGGCAGGAAGGAATGAACTTCCCATAATTCGGTTGGCGTATACCCAAGGATATGGGGTAGTGCGTAGGGGAGGAGCCATGCTTGCCTCTAGAACACACAAGCAAGTGTTTAACCTTGGTGGCGAAGATAAAAGCAGTTTAAAGCCACGGCAGGTTATTGTTTTCTACAGATTGGCGGATGGTAGGGGGATAGTAAGGATTAGACTGAGGGCCTCGGGCAAGTGTTCCGCCACCAAGCTGCATCCCCACACCCTTTCACATATTAGACTGTGTCAGGATTTGGGGCAGCAGGACTCTACTGGACAATGTGTAGACCCCCATGAAGAGCAGTCAGACTCTGTCAAAATAAAAAGTGTGTTTCCTTTGGCCTAGTAATTCTAAGACTTCATCTCACAGAAATGAATTCACATGTGCCAACTGCCCCGTATACAAACATACTCTAGTGTTGTTTGTTATTTACTTCATTTTGGGGATGTTGAGGATTAAAACCAATGATCTCAGAACATGCTAAACATGTGGCCACTGAGCTATTTGTTATTTAAAAAAGAGCGAGGCAGAGTAATCCAAGATTGTTGTTTCCAGCATTTGGGAGCCTGAAACAGTAGGGTTGCCATCAGTTTGAGGCAAGACTGGGCTGTACAAGAGACTTTGTCTCCAAAATGTATAATGTAGAACCAAATAAAAGTTTTTTAAGGGTTAACACATCTTTGAATGTCCATCAAAGGAGATCTGGTTCAAAAGTATAGTAGAGAGTGCAGCTCAATGGTCGAGACTTGTCTACAAGCACAAGATACTCAGTTTGACTCCCAGTGTCATAAATATAACAGGAAAGCACATCGTCAATGCATGATGGGAAACCTTTGTATCCTGTGTCTCTAAGGGGATAATGTGGCTCCAGAGGAACATCACTGAAGCAAGTCTAAGCCATGGTGTTAGTATAGGCAGCGCCGTGCAGAATGGTATGGAGATGTAACAGGAAGGCCATAGAATGTGATCTCCACGTGTACCTATGCTTACATACGTGTATGCTCTCTCTGGGGGAACACACAAGAAACTGGTGACAATGGCTGTATCCTGGGAGCAGAGGGGACCTGAGTGTGTGGAGATTGACCTTTTTCTTTCTGCGTACTTCTTGAGTCTCGTGATATCAGCTGGATTCCACTCTTACAAGGAAATAAGAGGTCTTCCCACCACTATGAGCTATCTGCCCTCACCTGTTCTCCATTACCAAGAGCTGCGCTATTGCACAAAGGTTTGAACATGGCTGTCCTCTGCTTAGAAATCGTCCTCATCAGATTCAACCAACCATTTATTACAATAGGAAAAAATTCCCAAAAGTTCCCCAAATCAAAATTTCATTTGCCACATGCTAAGCACTACCCTGAGTCCACATGAGTGGGGTATAAGCTTCCCCAGCTGGAGCCTGACACCATCTCTCAGACCCTTAGTCTGCCTCTAACACCTGTCATTTAAGGTATGCTGCCCTAGCCTCATTTGTGGACTTTGTAAGGAGACCCCGTAGGTGCCTCTGTACTGGGGCCATCTGTTTACCTGCAGTCACTCAGAAACCAATGGAGTATAGCAACTATTCATGCCTGTTGTGTTAGGTATTCTACACAACCCAGAGGTGGTCACATGCAAATAACTACTATGCCACTGTACATTATACATAAGCAACCTGAGCATCTGCAGGTTTTGGTATCTGAGGAAGGGTCCAGGACCAGTGTCCTTTACATTCTGAGAAGGGAGGGACTGTGTTCATCTAGCGTCAGCCACCTGCAGTACATCAGTACAGTTAAATGCAGTCTTCGGGCCAGCTGCCCTGGTTTCTCAACTTGCCTTTTCTGCTTCTAAATGCTCTCACATCAGGCAAGCTTCTTGAACTCAGTGTGGTGGACTGAATTGCACCAGCCACACTAGCTTTGGGACTGGAAGGTCTGTTCCCAGCTTCTTGGAGTGTTACAAGTAGACACTCCACGGTTGATTTTTCTGGAACCTGCCCTGGTTTGCCTCCCCTTTGCTGGGGTATTTGTTAGTGACCAAGCCCTACACAGAATTAGGAAATCCAGGGCCCCTCATCCTGTCTTGAATCATCTCTGAAGGGACATCTCAGCTTCACAGTGTCCCATGAGCTAGACTAGGGCCCCAGTGAAGTTGGGATTACAATCAGTTTCACCATTTGCCTGGTCCTCCATTCTCTCCTTCCCTCCTGTCCCCAGATATGCCTCTAAAGTCAAGAGCATTCTCTGAAAATTCTCTGCCATGCTCCTCTCCTCTCAGGAAGCCCGACTGGCCACATACAGTTTCCTCATGTGTAAAGTAAGATTAACCACCGGGTGGGAAGAGTTAGTGGCTCTTATCCAGACAGTTCTTAGATTCGTGCTTAGTACATAGTAAAAGTTCATTGACAGCCAGTAGCCCATGGTCAGACCCACCTACACATCTCCAATTTGTACACCACAGTCTTCATCACAAACATGTTGACTCCTGGTTCTTCCTCCAGCACATTTTTCTTCTTCTCATCTCAAAGTCTGTACCATGGTCTCTCTTCTACTCAACTGCCATTCTCCCACAGCACTCTCTCTCCCCCTTCTCTCTCTCTCTCTCTCTCTCTCTCTCTCTCTCTGAGCTTTTTTTCACAAAAGATAAGTCTCATGTAATGCAAGCTGGTTTCAAACTTACAGTGTAGTCCAGGCTAGACTTGAATTCCTGATCTGCTGCCTTGGTGCCTGAGTGCTGGGATTCCAACCATGGCTCATAAGACTTATGTGGATTCACTTTTATGTTGCTACCTATACCATACACACACAGGATGATGAATTGAGTGCCCTTGGCATATCGCAAATTCTTCAAGACATAACTCAATATTGGCCTTTGGGATTCTTGTTACCTGGCAATTTGGGACATGTGAAAAAAAAAGTAATTGAGCTGGTGTTCCAAAATTACTTGTCATTTTGGGGCTCCTGGAATGTCACAGCTGCAGGGAGACCCACAAATTCATTACTGCCCTCTTCTGGCCAAAAGGAGTGTGTGTGTGTGTGTGTGTGTGTGTGTGTGTGTGTGTGTGTGTGCGCGCGTGTGCGCGCGCACATGTGTGCACGTGGATAGAGAAAACCTCCTTGAAGAACTCATTATTTCTATCATATATGTACTAGTAAATAAGAATTATGTATTTTAAAATTCTGTATGTTCAGTAGCTAGAATAAGCACTTTCTACTCACTCTCCTAATATCATGGTCTGTGTATGAGTTATGGTAGATTCTTCGAGAACAGAATAAAAGAAGGTAAGTAATATACCAAAGCAAGCGGCCCAAGTCTTTCCATTTAAATGAAATCCATTAGTGTGTGCTTGGCTACCACAACAAAAAGGAGTTGAAGGGATAAGTGGCATGAACAGTCACCATGGACAAGGCTTTTCCTAGGTTACCAACATTTCTGGTAGGCATTCCTCTGACCAAAGGGCAATGAACTCCATATTCTAGAGATTACAGGACAAGAAAAGCTACAACTCTAGCAAAAATAGCACAGCCAGCCACAGATGCCTTAACAATGACCTGAAGAAACCAAGATGAGACCAAGAGGCACCAAGATGTGTCTGGGGAAGTGGTATATCATGAAGATAGAAATGATTTTGTAAAGCAAGGTGAAATGTGATCCTTAATGAGTGCATCACTGTGGTCCTCACAGTTTCTCCTTCCCCTGATAGAAGCTAAGAAAGACATCAAAGGACTCGCAGAACTTGTCCAGTGTTGTCAGTAGCAAAGCCATAATTCAAGACTACTATCACGCAGGTTTCTCCTTTTCAGCAAAGATGCCATGTGCATCAAGATAATACTGTGAAATAATGAAGCTGTTGCCCATAAAAACCTAAAGTGGGTGTCCTGGATTCTGGCCATCCTCCTCCTTCTCTCTCTCTCTCTCTCTCTCTCTCTCTCTCTCTCTCTTCTCTCTCTCTCTCTCACACACACACACACACACACACACACACACTCAATTAAAAAATGAGAACTCCTAGAGGAGAGCTATGCTTTTCAAATGCATGTTTCTTTAAGAAACTCCTCTTTGGAAAGGCTTTCCAAATGAAATCAATCTCTTAAAATTTACTGAAAAAAAAAAAAAAAGCCAAGACATGGCATTTGTTCATTTAGCTTTGAGGTATTTTTCAGTAATCTGAGCTGCAGAGGGGAAAGGCTGGCTGGGCTGCAGCAGGTACTGCACATTCTCTTTGAAGAACTGAAAAGAAGGATCTCAGGGGGATCCCCGAAGCCACAGACTCCCCAGCTCATCCTTGCAGAACCCCTGCACTTCCCCAAGTTACCTGGGGAAATGACACGCTAGATGCCTAAGTACCTCCACCATGCCTGCAGCAAAATTTTATCTGCAAGTTTCCATGTGGCTGAGATGATGCCTGTTTCTGGGCAAATGGGCAAGCTCCCAGGAGATAGAGACTGCTTTCCTATGTTTATCAAGTTAGGCTGAGGTACCCACACTACCTTATCTTTTAAAATGTCACTTTCGAAAGCTAAAAGAAGCAATGAGCTGATTGTAGATCAACTTTTTAAAAGATAAATAAGGGACCCAGCTTGGGAAGATGGTTTAGTTGGCACCACTCAAACATGAGGACTGGGGTTTGGCTCCCCAGACACCAAGTAAAAACCTAGGGGCAAAGGTGCCAACTTATAACCTTGTCACTGAAGAGCTAGAGGTAGGATCATTCCTGAGTCTGGCTAGCCAGCTAGCCTAGTCTAATTGGCAAGCCCCAGGTCCCACTAAGCGATCCTGTCTCAAAAACTGTGTGGGGCCAGCCAGATGACTCAGCAGGTAAAGGCAGACCACCACCAAAATCAGACAACCTGAGTTTCATCTCCAGGCCCCACCTGGTAGAAGCAGAGAACTGACTTCTGCAAGTTGTCCTCTGACCTCTACATGTGTACTATGGTGTACACACTGTGCACAT